TATTATTATTATGTTATTACAAAATATCAATGATATTACAAAATATCTCAAGGATTGTTGCTCAATATGGAAGCTTAAAGAATATCTGAAAGATTGAAATGTACTCTATATACATGTATGTTGTTTAATTAATCAACTTGTTTCAAAATTATTCTTAAGAAACTTCTATTTCTTTTGCAGTTTACAAACCGCTATGGATCAAATTAAGAAGCTCACTGAACCTGGCCGTCAGTTTGCCAAGGACAGCATCCGACTTGTCAAAAGATGTACCAAACCAGATCGTAAAGGTAATTTATTTTTATTAAGCTACGCATACCAGAAATATAATGGTTAATCATAATTTGTTTTTTATGTATTGCAGAATTTCAGAAGATTGCTATTGCTACTGCGATTGGTTTCTGTATAATGGGCTTCATAGGATTCTTTGTTAAGCTAATCCATATCCCAATCAACAATATCATTGTGTAAGTATTTGCATAATTGCTTCTTTATTTTAATTGTTTGAGGAATTTAAATATTTTTTTTATTTTCAGAGGTTCATAATATTAATCTTGATTCTCATCAATATTATTAAGGAAATTATTGATAATTATTGATAAGGTTCTATAAGACTATGTGCGTTAATACTTGTCCTTTAATCTTATTTATAATAAAAAAAATGTATTTGCTATCTATTGAATTGCTTTTGTGAATGAAGTAGGTAAGAGGAGATATGTGCGCAATATTAATAAATTTTATAATAAAATAGTTAAAAATTACCTTCTTTTTTACTAATTATATATCCTAAAAAATAAGAGAGATAAAATGTAAGAAATGTAATTACAATATCTTGAACATAGTTTGTACAAACAGATGTACAAACTTTAAGAAACACAAAAATTTTGTATTAAAATACAAAAATGTAATTAGTTATTTTAATTTAATATATTATATTCTATTATAAAAAAATTTATTTACTTTAATTTAAATCAAATTTCTTAATTTAATAAGATCCTATCATAAGAGGGAAATCCTATAAAAGTTTAAGTCATTCTTTTAGTATTGAAGACACTTTTATTTAAAGAATAAAATTTTTCCTTAGGTTATAACGATTAAATTTTGTCGGCCATTTATCTGTCTTATTATTTGCACCAAATATTATCAGTATTAATAAAAATAAAATTTGCGAGAAAACGACCATGTTGCATGGAAGATCATAGCCAGGTACTGAGTAACATATGTAAAAGATATAATAATGATCTTGTATAAATCTCTCTCTCTCTCTCTCTCTGGCATGCAGCTTTTCTTTACTTTATTTCGCAACTTAACACTGCTCCAAAAAAGCGACGTTTTTTTCTAATAAAAAAAAAAAAAAATTTATTGATAAAAAAATTAACGAGTCCTTATAGATACTATAGAAGCCACGATATCCAGAATCTTATTATTGGCAGTATTAAAATAACAGAACGAGCTATTTAAAATCGCAAAGATTGTGCAAATATAAACTTATCGAAGCACTTTTAACGAAATTCTTAACATTGGAGCTGTGAAACATTAACTTAACAATATTACTTTTCAATTTAAAAAAAATATCTCCCACATTTAATACATATAAACTATATTAAATAGATAGATAGAAATTCATAGTTCCCCTAAGGGCACATTAAACTATTAAATACTCTGTTCTGGCAACTTGATAAAAATTCTATAAAAAGAAGATAATATTTCTAGCACCATTCGTATCGCTGTTGTATGATACTGGCATAACTGCCATACTCTCTTTTTTGTGATTTACAAGTCATATTTGGATTTTACTTAATTTCGTAAATTCCATATACTATCGAAAAGAAAGAGAGGAAAAAAACGCGGAAGACTTTGTCCCGCTTTGCTTTGCTCACGAAGCGCCGGAAAAGTTTCTCGTGTTTTGTATTATCATCAAAAATTATTTTATCAATCTGTAGCAACATTCCGAACAGGGAAAGTCGTTTAGTCCGCGGATATGTATAAGCGTTTTTCTTCGTTAATATAATTACAGCATTCCTGCTAACGATCAGGCGTAACTTTCATAGATTACGTGAGAAATCATTTTATAAGCGTAGCCCAAAGTGTGTTTGTCAAATTAAAAAGTAAAATAAAAATCAAATAATATGGAATCTTTCAAATAATTCAAAATTATTTTAAGACGCAACAGACACTGGAAACTTATAATAATAGGAAGAAAATATATTTTATTGTAAGAAATTATTTAAAAAAAATATATTTAAAATAAAACAAAATTCATTTTTTCCAATTTTGAAGATATTAAGTAATCTTAAAAAATAGAATTTGAACATACAGAATTTGCTCAGCAAACTTGTAACAATTATTATAGAATTACAGGGTACATTATGTTGTGCTTTCTCGCAATTTTCTTTGGCGTTTTCATCTGTTTTTATTTGCTTTTTTATCTGTTTATATCTGTTTTCATATGAATATTGGCAATTGGATTCAAGATCTTTAATCACAATATCAAGTCTCAATTTGCAAACGCACTGAGGGGAAATAAAATGAAACTAAATTGAGGTATGTCATTAGGCACGTAATTCTCGATTCTCCAACGAATCTAATATTTAATAGTCGTCATGTAATTAAGTGTTCATTGATTGTTAATGGCGTGCACTTATTTATGCAATTGTTTGCGCGTTGTAAAATTATACATATATTAGGTGTACAAAAAAGTTCTGAGCTTTAGATTTGATACAACCGAAATAACAATTTAAATTTTATATATCTTCCCGCCCTTTTGGGGTTTTAA